CTGTCCCCCGCGGCAGGGATCCTGTGAAGACGCACGGATCCCCCGCCGCGGCTTGGCAGCCCTAGTTCCTCGAGATTTGGGGGTGGAGCCTGGGGAGGACAAGGATCTCAGTGAGGTACAGGGCCCTAGGCTAGAGCCCACCCTCCAAAGTGCCCATTCTCTCCAGGGGAACTGATCTCTATAGCTGGGACATTAACTGTAATACTGGCCTCCATACAGCTCCATACAGTGGATCCAATCACACATTTCCAAAGACATCAGAGCACCACCACCACCACCACTTCTTCTTCCTCTTCCCGGATGGCAGTTTCTGCTGATGAAGAAGAGTTGGTTTTATACCCCACCCTTCACTACCCGAAGGAGTCTCGGAGCGACTTACAATCTCCTTTCCCTTCCTCTCCCCACAACAGACACCCTGTGAAGTAGGTGGGGCTGAGAGAGTTCCGAGAGAACTGTGACTGACCAAAAGTCACCCAGCTGACTTCATGTGGAGGAGGAGGAGTGGGGGAATCAGACCCAGCTCTCCAGGTTAGAGTCCACCACTCCTAACCGCTACACACCATACTGGGAAACAAAAGAAACAAAATCCATGTCATACTTTTGGTGGGGGAGGCAAACCCAGGGAACCCAAGGAACGAAACCCAAGGAACCCTTTTTTCCCGCTTTGAAAACTGTGGGAGCTGCTTGTGTGAACCACCCAATCCGTGCAAGCATCCTGCTCCCCTCCCCTCCTGCCCTGTGGTGCCCAACGCCAGGACTGGAAGGAGCGGAGGCCCTGCGGTCTCAGCGGCTCCAGACGGGCCAGTTCAGAAAGATAGCCAAGTATCCTACTGAACCCTTTCAGAATCGCCATCAAGAGCTAATCCACAGGTTTGTGGGGGGGCTGTTCATCCCGGAGCAAAATAAAGCACAGTAGCCCGATCACACGGTCCCCCGAGTCTCTGTGTTTAGGCTGTTAGCTGGCGATCACATGGCGATGCTGCAGTGTGGCAAAGAAGCAGCATGTGCAGTTCCGCAGAGCAGCACTGCTTTCAGTTTCGTGTTTGTGTGCGTGCGCTTACGAAAAACATCCGGTTTACGACGGGATGTGGACAGGCACCAGATGCCACGGGATACTAGCGCTCCAGCGATTAGACGCCTGCCTGTGCTGCGCGTTTTCCAGATACTAGTGCACTTTCCTTGGTACTTTTTAACTCCGCATCTTTGGCGGGATGCCACGGGTTGGCCACGGGTGCGCTACGCTTCCCAGATGTTGCGGTGTGATCACGCCCCGAAAATCCGCCCGACATGCGTGCCTTTCGTGTGGCAAATTCTCCATGTGACCGGGGCCAGAAGCAGGCAATGGCAAGCCACCTCTGAATGTCTCTCGCCTTGAAAACCTACGGGGATGCTGTAACTTGGCTGCGAGTTCACATTTTCCACATTTAACAATAAACATATGCTTGTTGCAGACATCTGCAGTCTATATAGGAATTGTAAAACTAGGGCAGGGGTGTGCAGCACCGAGCTCAAGGGGTTTCATAGATTCCACGCTCCTCACTGGCTACAACGTTGAGCAGGACCAGCGGGGTACCAAGAAAAGCAGCTGGAGGGTAGCCCCTCGCTATGAGGTAGACAGTAGGAGCAGAGAAGAGGACAGGAGTGGTCGGGGAAGATGGACAGTAAGGGCATCAGTGACCGAGAAGAGCTCTCTCTCATCCCGCTTCATCCTGTGATGTGCCCGAACCTCTCAATTATTTATTTGCACATAGTAACAAAACAGTCATGTTGAACAAAAGAAACAAAATCCATGTCATACCTTTGGTGGGGGAGGCAAACCCAAGGAACCCTTTTTTTCCTGCTTTGAAAACTGTGGGAGCTGCTTGTGTGAACCACCCAATCCGTGCAAGCATCCTGCTCCCCTCCCCTCCTGCCCTGTGGTGCCCAACGCCAGGACTGGAAGGAGCGGAGGCCCTGCGGTCTCAGCGGCTCCAGACGGGCCAGTTCAGAAAGATAGCCAAGTATCCTACTGAACCCTTTCAGAATCGCCATCAAGAGCTAATCCACAGGTTTGTTGTGGTCTCTGTGCAGGCACGCACATAGGCTGCATGCCCGTACTGAGCACCACTCAGGAACTTTCTGGAAGTACCACAGTCAAAGAGAAACCTACTTGAAGTGACCTCTGGATTACGGTCGCAGCTTACCCCAAGCCTCTCCTTCTGCCTGGGGTGTGTGTGTGTGTGGCTGGCACTGGTATGGGGACCTCCCACCATTGACTGACAGGCAGCTATGGCGACCACAGTCAAAGAGAAACTTACTTGAAGTGATCTCTGGATTACGGTCGCAGCCTACCCCAAGCCTCTCCTTCTGCCTGTGGGGGGGGTGGCACTGGTATGGGGACTTCCCACCATTGACTGACAGGCAGCTATGGCAAAGGCGGGGCTGAGTAGGCTGTGCTACGAACCCCCACGTAGTAAGGGCACTGTGTAGATCCGCCTGGAATGTCTCCTTGGGCAGCTCGGAAGTGTCCGCTCCTAGAGGTCTGGTGCAGAGGGGAGCATTGCCACCAGGGGTGGCTGAACCAGTGAGCAAAGTGAGTAGAGGAGGGCACGGTGGCTGCTTAATAGCTCGGGACCGGGTGCAATCCCCTTCCTTCCAGGCCTGGAGAACTCTGCAGGCCACCTAAGGGCATCGACACAGGCGTAGAAAAGAGGACATTAAAAATGACAGACATTAGAATGGCCCACCCTGGACCCTCTGTTCAGCTCTCGTTACGCTGCTAAGCATGGAAGGAGGCAAAAGAGGGCCGAAGCTTTCGTGTGCCTGGAGTACAAAAGGTCCCAGATTGTGGGAGAGGTGGCACTTCTTCAGCAGCAGAAGCTACAGTGGGGGACCCACCAATCAGGGCCGGCCCGAGGTGTTTCTGCGCCCTAGGCGAGGCTAGCTTGTGGCACCCGCACCCCCCTCAGCGCAGATGCCAACCTCCTGGTGGGGCCTGGAAACCTCCCAGAAACATGCCCGTGGGGGTCGGGGCAGGCGCCACAAGCTAGGCGCCTTAGGATCAGCACGGCGAGTTGGGAATCGCGCT